GGGAGCCTCTGACAAACTGTTGCTGTATGAAGACTACAAGTTGTATCAAAGCATTTTTAAAACTTAAGTGGCTAAAACTAACACGAGAGATTAAACAGACCCTCTACTTTGGCTCTGAAGAAAAAAAATCTGAGCTCAGATTATACAGTTGAAACCAGATGTTTACATATATTTTCAAAATGCCTTTTTTTTATCACCATCCAACAAAATTAGGCTCCTGTTTTAGGTCAGGATTCTCAGTTATTTCTTTTTTTTTTTTTAATTGTTACTGAATTGTTTAAATAATTTGGGCAGCTTAGAGCAGTCATCCTCTAATTGGAGAGTTGGGGGTTCGATTCCACCAGAGTCGCATGTTTAAGGGTCTCTGGGCGAGAAACTAAACCTCTCGTTGCCTCTGATGTGTGTCCCATCGGTGAATGAATGTGATTTAAAGCTGAGGATAAGCCTCTTTAATGATTTGTTCAGATGATCTTTGCGGAGATGTAGTAGAGTACTGTATGACTGTGTATGTGGAGGTAAATGAGGGCACAGATTGTGTTGTAAAGCACTTTGAGTGTCTTGATTAGATAGAAAGGTGCTATATAAGTATAGTCCACTTTAACATTTACCATTCCATTTTAATGCCCAGATAACGAGATATATTTTTAATTACGCTCCTCAAAGTCAGAAGTTTATATACCAGTACAATACTACGCATTTAAAAAAGTTGTATGCTGTAAACCCAGATGAGGATGTCATCAGTTAGTTGACAACTTTTTCTTTCAGCTGTTCATCCATCTCAGTCTGGCCTCTCTAACTTTATCTCCCAGTTGTTCAACCTGTGACAAGATGGAGTCCCCCTGAGGTCAGCCTGTTAGCTTAGCTCGTAGCTTAGCTTTTCAGCTTAGCTGCCCAGTTTTAATGATCCAAAAATGAGATTTTGGATCATTAAAACGGATTTTAAAGAAAAGAGAAAAAAGAAAGGGAATGGTCAGTGAAGAGCACCGGAGTTGAGCCTTTTGTCATCCAGTGTCTTCAGTAGAAAGAGAGAGACACGAAGAAACGATAAAGCCGATAAATGAAAATAAGGTCGATATTTTAATTTATCATGCGATTAATTGATTTATTGTTTATTGCGACAGGCCTGTTTGACTCGAGTCTTACGATTTAAAGACAAGGACGCCAAATACAAAGTATGTATGTAAACTTATGACTAAAGGAAGTAACTAAAATTGTCTTAATTTTTTTTCACCATTCAACAAATGGATATAATTTGGGGAATCCTAGCCAAGCAAAAACAGGAAAGGGTCACTTTGATTTGAATGAAAAATGGTTCTTTGTCTAGAGTGAGTTTTCACATCATTTCAAAAGGAGCTTCCACTGGACCAGAACTCTGTTTTCAACCCATCCCTGATAAATAAATCAGAAAGTTTTGGGTCAGTTATAGGTTTTGTGGTCCACTTCTGCTGCACCTTACATTATTTATTGTGTTTATTGTAGATTTTACGATACTGAGTTGACCAAAATTGTGCAGCAAAGCAACTCCAAACCATAATATAAAATCTCTATCCCCACATTTCACATTTTATTTTTTTGCTTGAATGTTTTCTAAATGTCCAAATTGCATATGCTCTTTAAAACAAAAGTTTTTATGAGGGTTCAAATGTGTGATTTATTTACATCTACAGTAAAATAGACTAAAGTCAATTCTGTTTGAGGTAGACTATTTAAAAGCATAATGTACAAACAGATTGGTATAAAAGCACTAATCAAGATGAAATGTTCAACAAAATCTAAGTAAAATGGAAACTTTAAAGAGCACTGCTTCCATGTTTTTAAATTGTTTTGCTGGTGCACAAAAGTTAGACATTCTCTTGTTGTAATATGTAAAATTAATCTTAATTGCTTTTTACACATCTAATTTCATTCCTACAGTTTTTACATCATAGCTGCTATCTGTCATATTTAGATTATTATAATTCGCTTAAAGATAAACTCAATAAATATTTGTATTAATATTTATTAATCAAAAATGAGATAAATTAATTGTCCTTTTTCCTTGGTCCTCTTCTAAACACAAGCCAAATGGTCTATTTCTGATCCAAACAAGTTTAGTTTCATCAAAGCCTTTTTAACATCATGCAGTTTCAAAATAATAGTCTTTACGCAACAAAGAGACCACAAACCATGATACTTCCATCACCGTGCTTCACAGTTAAAAGCTTTATTTGAAGTCTGTGTCAAAAATGCAACTCTGATCCATTTTTATACCACATCTATTTGAAATCTACACCCTTTGTAGGTGTTTATTTTTCTATAGATTGTTTTCAAATAATTATATATTTAACATTATGTTGGAATTGTTGTTTCTCATCTTTAATTAATGGCGTTTTAAATCCATCATAATAAAAGTGAGAAATGATTTCTAAAAATGTTCACTTTTACCTTTTTAAACTGTTGCACTGTTCCTTCAAATGTTTACTTGTTTTAATATTTAAAAACATTTTTAATTCCATGTACTATTGTTTTTTTTTGTTGTTTTTTTTGGTAGCACAATTGACTTTAAACTTCTTAAAAACTAAATGTTTTGTTTTTAGGCGTAAACGATACAATTTTAATAAAATTATTAAACCACTACTTCCTTTAGTTGTTTAATGGTGCAGTTACTTATTTAACCAGATACCCACACTCTCAAATGGACCTTTATGTTGACTTTCCAACTTTTACTTGATTAGAATTTTAAATTTTGCTAACTTTGCTTTGTAGAATATTTTATCTCTGTACTGATTCAGTTTGTAACTATATCTAAAATGTGTGAATAGAATAGAATTTCTCATTTGTTGTATTTTTCTGGACTGTACTTTAGACTCATTAATTACCAAAACCTCAACAAAAACAAACAAAAATGTACAAGTTAGTAAAAGGTTGTTTATTTACATGACATAAGGATCAATGCATGAAAAGCAAGTTTTGGTTCGTTCAGCCGCTGATTTAAACAGTAATTTATCTATGAAACAAAATTAAACGGTACAAGTTATTGTATCAAAGTAGAGTATAAACATGATCATATATGTGCACGTTAACATGTATTTTTACATTGTATGAAACTATTGTTGGGGTTCCTGACCCCTCTCTTTTTGTCAAACATTCAGCTCCACTGTTTTTTAAATTTCAAATGAATGCATTTTTCCAAGTGTGATGAAAGGTTTAAAAACATTCCCAGTACGGTGACGGTGATGCAGTTGCCATGGCGATGCTGCTGTTACAGGTTGATCAGGCTCTCCTCCTCGGATTCCTCGGGCTCCCTCGGCTCTGTAGACACAGCGGCGTCGGCTGGGAGGAGGGTTTCTGGAGGTGGAGGCGCAGGTGGTGCCGGAGGTGGGACAGCGGGGCAGGTGCGGACCGGCAGGACGTTTGTTTGGCCGACTGGATGGAAGACGAAGCAGTAGGCTCCTGGTTGGCAGCTGTTCTTCACACCGAGGGCTAAATCGGTGGGTGTGACGGGCTGGTAAACGTCGTCAATGTAAACACTGAGCGTGTAGGAGTCTGGAGGAGAGAAAACACGGAGGACACCTTTTATTTCTTTATATGTTGTGTTTTGAGCTTAGTCTCCTAAATGTTGCTAATCAAGTACAGTAGCATCATCTCGGTGCTTATTTTTTATTATCTTTGCTTTAAATATTTGAGTTTTTAAGTCAATAAACAAACTTTACCTTGTTCAAATCGTGCAGCACACTGTTCAGAGAGCTGCTGGATGGTCATTGTGGGAAACACGTCCAGAGTTTTGGGGTTGGCACCGATCTCAGGACAAAACACTGTCAGGAAGTCCTACAAAAGACGAACAGAAATGATGTGTGTGCATCAGGAAAAGTTTTAACTCGTTTATCTTGGCTGTGATTCTGAGTCTAAAAATCAATGATTGCTTCCACAATGGCTTTTGGTGGTGGTTTGACTGAAATCAGAACAGAATATAAAAGTTTTAGATGTAATTTAATGCAGCAGCCATCACGCATTGCAGCCGAGCCTTGGATTGGTGCTTCTCACCCAACGCTGCTGCCTTGTTTTTACTTTTAGTTTCATCTAGATGGAATCAAAACATTCAGGCTGGAAGTCTAAACAGAGTAAACTACATTTTTCTGACTTTATTTGAAGTTATATTACAGTTTTAAAAGTCAGAAAATCTAAACATACATTCCAGCAGATATAACCTTTAATACAGAAAAATGAAAAAGTAAACTCTCTTGTTCTCCAGGTAAAGGAAGATCTTTGAAAGGATTTTGGACACTTGTTGTTTTATTTCTCATTTTTCGTGTGTACCCGAACAGATTCCTGGGCCACGCGCTCCTGGTTGAGCGTGCGTCGTCTCTCCCAGCGGTGGATGGAGTCTTGAACCTCCCTGCTCAGCTGCCGGGTCGCGGACCTCTGCTGGTCGAACGTCTTGATGTGCTCCAGCGCCCCGTAGGTGGTGGTCAGATAATATGAACCTGAACACACACAGGATGCACGCTCAGATCATCGTTTCAGATCATATCATATTAATGCATGGCTCAGTTTGTGTTCACACCTTCTCCAAGAGTTAACGATGGGTCCATCAGCTCCATCATGTACTCCACATCCAGATGCAGGGCAGACAGATTGGATCTAGCCAGGACGTACATCATTACAGGAAGGAAGTCATCAGCGCCATGGGCCCGCCCTGAACACACAAGCACTTAAGGGTTCATGACATTTGTTTTTGGTTTTAAAATCTTTGTTTTTCACGCAGGGATGTTAGGATGAGTGTGTTGTGTGATAAATACAGAGGTTCTGACCCGGACTGCTGATGGACATGGAGTCATAGATGATCTTGCAGGTCTTCAACAGATGCTCAATCTTTTTCTGTGGGGAGTACTCCTGATGAAGTTTGTTCAGTTTGATGATGATCTTCTCCATGGCGGGGGTCTCAGGGACGGCGGTGGTTATTCCTAAGGCTGTAGTGGTGCTGCCGAGGACGATGGACTGACACGCACACACACGGCTTCAGTTTAACATGTGCCTTTCTTTATACGTTTCTGGTTATATGGTCCCATAACTGTTGAGGAGCCCCTAACCTGGTTTTGTGCCAGCTGCTCCATGCTGCCAGCGCTGACGTGCAGTTTTTCCAGACTCTTATAGATCGGCTCCTTCAGAGGCTTCAGCACACTTTTACACAGAGCTGCTTCAACAATGCTCTCTGCAAAGATGTGCCCAACACTCGTTTATCAATCGCTCACATCCGTTATCAACTGAAGTTCATGCTGAGGTTGACTCTCAGCTACCAATGCATCAAGTTTAAGCTCAAAATCTTTAAAAGTGACTGAGCTCTCTGCTTGTTCTCTATTTACTATGATAGCAGATCATTTGTAGCTCAAAGCTAAATTAGTAAAACTAACTAAAAGTAAAATGTAGCAAAACTGTAACTGAAAGTTCTCATTTGTATACAAGTGTAGCTGAAAGCTAAAATGAGTCAAACCTTAGCTAAAAGCTAAAATTAGGACAGTAGCTCTAAGCTAAAATGAGGATAAGATGATAAAACTAAAGTAGATTTCTGTAAAAAAAAATAAAAAAAACATTATGGAATTGATCTCAGTGTTCTTCTGTTGGGAAAATAAAACTTTTGCAAATCAAATTAAACAATTTAAAAAATACAAACATTACAAATACTAAACATCAAACACTTCTTCCAGTAAATATTTTGTTTTACAAATTGTGCAAAAGAAATTTGATTAAAAAAACATTTGGCAGCCTTTAACCAGGAACTCAGTAGTGCTGAATTAGCATTCCCTCAAATATTTCTTGATCATTTTGGATATATTTCCCACAATGCAACACACTAGTACTAGTTAATCTGGACTACCTGCCTGAACGCCACACTTTGAGAACTTTACATTCTTCTGGGAAATTTGTAAACCTAAACTGAGCTCATCAAGGTCTGTTTCTCTTCCTCAGCTTCAGGAAACTTTATGTATTTCGACATGAACTCATAAAAGGAAGTGACAGAGATGTTTCCTGTGAAGTTAGTTCCATTTAACAGAAAAGTTACCCAGTTTGTCCTGTGCGTACTGATGTTGTGGCTCCAGGATGACTTGCATCTCTGTACTCTGCAGCAGGTACCGCTTCAGCTGAGTCATCATCTGTCGGATCTCCTGCAGCAGCTCCGTGGAGGTCGAGTGTTTCGACATGGTCTCCAAGGTGAACGCTCGGTGGTCTTTCACCTGAACACGCAGCATAAAAGCTGTTCATCTTATGCCACGAGCCGGCACAGAGGAACCTTAAAGGTCTTTATGTTCTCACCAGGTTACCAAAGTAGCTCATAGGGTCCCGAGCCAGCTCTACAATTCTTTTGGTGAGCCGTCCATCATGGTAGATGAGTCCGGTCAGAACGGTGGATAGGCGATACCGGGCTCGGTCCAACATGACGGTGGGGGTCCTCCTGACAACTGATTTATAGCTGTGGCTCTCTGCAGGGCCCCTGGAAGAAAAACAACTCTTTAATTATTTTAGGGTTTTTAAAATATTAGAAACTGACTTCTTTTAATTGATTTTTTTATATTTGAGTCATTCTGTCAGTTGAAACAAACGTCAAAATGTTCCCACCAGTGCCAAGTTGGTGGACTTGTCTGAAATTTAACACAACTCATAAAACAACTGGAAACTGGAACAAAGTTTGCTGGTATACACTGTTTTTTACAACATTCACAGAACAATGTGACCAAAGAATCAACAGTTCAGTTGCCTTGAAACTTGAAGCAAATGTTGTTAAAAAGCATGTGCTATCTTATTCAGAGGTTAGAAATGAATATTTGTGAGTTATTATGTTTATTAATGAACTATTAATAACCAGTCGAAAGACTTAGTTACTGCATTATTATTGGCGGCCTTTCAGCACTGACGGCAATCTTTACTGTGGTTAGAAGAACATCATCTGATGTATCAAACCAACTGATATTTGGTATTTTGATGCTTTGATCGGACCAAAAATTCAATTTCCAGGTTCTTTTACAAATCGGTAGTGAAAAAAAAAATTGTTGCTTAATATGTGTTTTGTTCATTATAAATTCAGACTACTAAAAATTAATCGCCCATTTTTGTGAGGATCATTCAGAGGGGCTTTGGCAACCACTAATCTGCAGGGATAAACCTAGATCTTTCAAACAAACAAATCCCACTGGATCAACAGAACCGGCTTCAGACGTCCATCCATATAAAGCATTAAAATCAAACTAATAAATGTGACCCATGCTGGTACAATGAGTCAGAATGAGTGCAAAACAACAACAAAAAACATAAAAATATGGCCTTTTGCCATGATTAATTAATTTAGAATGAGTCTTTAGACACCGTCTAGCAAGTTTTGTTTCCAATTTACCTTTAAATCAAAGTTTTCTAATAGTGTCTTCAGAAATAATCACTTTAATTTGCTTTGAAATAGACCACTTTTCTTTGCAAGCTACCATAGCACATGAAATAAAATAACTTTATCCTGAACTTTATCACATGTTACAGATTAAGAGTTTACTCCAGTAGTTTTCCAGATGTGCAATTTTAAAATGCGGGTCCACACTCAATATAAACAAAGTATCTGAGTCAATCCAAGAAAATTGTCATTGAGCATGCATCAGGCTACCATAGCGTTATTTACAAAATATAAAATAAAATAAAGATTTCAGCTTTATTTAAAAAATAAAAAATAAACTCTCCATTGTGTGCGTAGTTAAAATGCTCGTTTGGTTCATCAACAACTTCAACACTAAATTTTATTCATGATCTTCCAACAGAAATATGCATTTATATTTTACCAGGGGTAGAATCAAATTAAAACTACAGCATGATTTGGGAGTTTCCAGGTATGGAACAGCATACAACAAGCTGACAGTTTAAATAGTTTAGTGATGATGTCACAGGAAATATGACGGTTAACGCGACTCTAAACATTGCATCTTATGAAGAGGAACTTGTTTTTCTACGTGCAGGAAGCTTGAGCTCAAATGTGGAAGTTTTCTTGAGGCTGCTGAAGTCTAATAAAACATCTAAAGATTATATAGATGTGAAAAATATAAAGTCAGAAAAAGGTGAGTTCATGTCTGAAACATGCAAATCTTTAGTTTCATAATCAGTTCAGTGAGTTTGCTGTAGTTTCAGGGAAAGTATGAAAATCAGTATTTTATATATTTTTTAAACTTACCGCATCTGAACAAACCTCGAGCATTAAAGTGAACAAATCTGATCAATAATTTAGGATTTATTTATTTTTTAATCTCTCAAAGTAGTTTCAGGCCATTAAATAAGGAAGAGTGATAAACCCTTGTGATTAAACATTATGGATAATTTATAATTAACTTTTGAGGTCAGTCCAATTTAAGATGGCTGCCTTAGCTAATCAACATTAATAAACACCAAAAAAAAAAAAAAAAGGCCATAACTCCATGAGTTGTACAAATATTGAGCTAAGATTCGGTGTGGTAGTAGCTGAGAGTGATTCACAAAACATAATTTGAGCGAAACAAACAGCTACAGCTTCTGACTTGATGAGCTAATCAAACTACAGTAATTTACATAAATTTACAGTAATTTCATAAAGATAAAACTTTAGATTTGTGCTTTTTATGTTTAGGAAGTTGATGATGTCACACCAAATGAATGTTACTCTACTGAAAAATTGTTAAATGAAAGTTATAAAAAATAAAATCAGTTCAAGACTTTGTTTTTTTTGTCACAACCAGGGAGTTTTATACCTGATGCTGGTCATTTTGGAAAAACTATTAACCTAAATATATATTTGGCGGCATTATTTTTATTTCTTTGCTTATATAATAACTTCACCTGAGCCCACACCTACCTGTGGTTTGTATCTTGCTCCTGATTGGTCTCTCCCTCCTCCTCGGTGCTGCTGGTGGAGCAGGAGTCCAGGTCAGCCCCCAGAGCGGCTCCCCCCTGCGGTGAGTACAGCGACACATCAGGGCGTGGTGCTGGGGATGGAGGAGGAGGAGGTTTCATCCCTGCGCTCTGATTGGCTGATCCTCCTCCTACCTGGCTGGAGCACACAGGTGGATTTGTGAAGGGTGGTTTAGTTCTGGGGGGAGGAACAGGACGAGATGGTTTCTTTGTCGGTGGTGGGCACTGGGACTTTATTTTGTCTTCCTTCACCGTCTTCAGGCCCTCCTCGTCTCTCCTGCTGGCCTCCTGCTCAACCTCCTCATCCTGCAGACCTGCTCCTGGTTTCTCTGTATCTTTCTCTTCCTCCTTTTCCTTCCCCTTTGCAAGATTCTCTCCACTGTCTCCCCCTGTCCTCTCTTTGACTGAGCTTATCCTGGACGAGGAGGTGGTGCGGTGTACAGGAGCAGGAGGCAGAGGTGGAGCAGCTCGGGTCAGGAGAGGGACAGGAGGCCTCGATGGAGGAGGTGATGTTGCCTTCCTGTCTTCTTTTTCACTTCCCTCCTCTTTGTGCTCAGATTCAGGAGGTGTTGGGGCTTGAGGAGAGGAGAAGAGGAGGCCCATGCCGGTACCTGAACCCAGGCTGGGGGGTCTAGGTGGAGGGGGGCGCTTGTATGAAATGTCCTGGCTGGTTGGAGTTGGGCCTTTGACCTGCGGGTTTGGTTTTTTTGAGGTTTCTCCATTCTGCAGGGTGAAGGTGATGCTTTCGCTGTGGCCGGGGTCACAGCTGGAGGAGGAAGGGTTCGGCTCTTTGTTGGGCTGCTCCTCCACAGTGACGGGGTTTACGTAAACGTATGTGCTGGGTGGAACCAGGAGGTCCTGGTTCTTCTGGCTCAGATCAGACATCCAGAAATCTGCAGCACAAACATAGTTTAAAAAGACAAAACAATTCGGACGTACATTTTACTTCTTCCCGTGTCAGTTTACAAAAATATGAAAACTGAAAGTTTTTTTTTTTTACGTTAAAGAGACAAATCCCAAATTATGAAATAAAATAAGTTTATCTTGAACTTTATCACATGTTACAGATTAAGAGTTTACTCTAGTAGTTTTCCAGATGTGCAATTTTAAAATGCGGGTCCACACTCAATATAAACAAAGTATCTGATTCAATACAAGAAAATTGTAAAATTTCTTGTTTCCAAATGGATGTCACCATTGTTGACCTATTTTCATTAATTCTGACTACGTCTAAAGGTAAATAAACACAACTGATTTGTTTTATTTTTTACATTTTACAGTTTTTTTTTAATTAGGGCCACATCAACTGTTTATATTATATGAGAAAACAAATTGTTTGGATTCAGTTTTTTACACTATAAAATACTTTTTGACCTGTCTTCATGATGCTGCCATGATTACGTTTGAATATTGTTAGTTTTTTATTTTTATTTATTGTTTGCAAAGAAGCATTGTCTACAAAGTAGTTCTTATCTTGTCATTAGAACATTAGACAACACGATTACTTATCCAAACCTTAACAAAAATGCAAAAGCAGTTTCTGAGAAATTCACACAAATTTATCCAAAGGTCAAATAAATGACATAAAAAGAGCTCCATATCAGGTTTTATATAGCAGGGTCAAAGGTCATGACAGGATAATAATAATAAGACTAAATGTGAAAAAAGCCTCCTCACTAAAAACAACATGGCAGAAACAAAGCTTCATCTGAACAAGATGAGACCAAAATTATGTTTGCCCATAATGCATAGCAGCATGTGTAGAGAAAACCAAGCACAGCACGTGAACGCAGTGAGATTGCTGAACTCAGGCCACTAATGAAGTCATCAAAACAGCAAAAACACACACAGCCACAGACATTTCTAAACACCGACGTCTATAAAAGTCATGTAAATTATGTACTCCTATACAGCTGTGGAGAAATTAAACAAAAATGTGTTCAGTTTGATGCACTGTGTGAATGACAATAAAGTTTATATTTATTTATTAAAAGTATTGTTGCTAATTTAATGTTGCATTTAAGACGTGAAGAACCAATACTTTTTGTATATCTAAGCAGTAAAATCTTAGAGTTTAATAACCTTTGTATGTGATTGAATTCATGTTTTCATACAGCGCAGGCTGCATAAACTGTCAACAAAATTACTTGAATGGGGTTAAAGCCCGGTGTGATTTTATTTTATTTGGGTATTTCCTGAGAACAGCTTGAGTCCTTGCTTTGCGTCTGATTATTTAATGCTAATGTGATGCTTAATTCGGAACATCAACAGATCTTGGTTCTGTGCCATGAATTAGTCATGCACACAACGTAACTTTCCTAACAAAGTGTTCATCCAGATCAGAAAGTTTCCATCTAATGCTCCATTTGCAGCTGGTCATAGTTGTGTTGTCTAATTAATTCAGTTCAGTTTATTTATATAGCGCCAAATCACAACAATATTGTCTCAGGATTAATTAATTACTAATATACTAATTGCTGATGGCGTTGCGGAAGATGCGGGTTTATTTACCTGCACCCAAAGCAGAGATGGCCTCCAGCTCCTCCATCTTCGTTGCCGTGGTGATGGCCTGGGGTAACCTCAAAGAGATGGCGAGGATGTCTCTGTTTGGGAGATTTATTTATTTTAAAAAAATCAGATAATTATTGAAATTTAACAGAATTGGATTTTATTAAATGATGTAGTTGAGTTTTTTTTGGGTTTTTTGACGGCACAGTTAAACATTAATTTGCATTTTTACACCAACAAATAGCAGAAAATGGGACATACAGCAGATGATTAGTTAAAGGATGATGCATTCCTCAGGTCTTGTCTTTAGGACTTTTTTCCCCCTGTTTCTTATAAACGTTCAGATTCTGTTAATCATCTGGAGAGGTAACTTTTAAGGCCTGACACTTCTTTTTTGTACTCTTGGTCGCAATTAAAATTAAGAATGGAACAAAATCTGTCTGATAGTAATAGTTTCAAATGTAATGTCACTGAGCGACATGTTTGCACAGAGTTGTGTGTGTGCTGTACCTGCTGACACAGTAGAAGGAGATCAATTTAAAAATGTCATCAAAAACCAGAGAAGATCCCTCCAAGTGAACAACTGAGAACAAAAACAGTTTCAAAGTGAAGCACTAATAGATTTTTGTGATAAATATCCGTATGAAGATGTTTGTTGTGAACACGTACATGTTTTGTGTTGTTTGATGGTCAGATTGTCGACACGTGGCGCTCCCTGTTCATCGGGCAGTCGGACTGAAATCATCACGACGTTATCTTCTGTGTTTTGAACCAGGAACGCCTGGACATATCAGCAGTTATTGATGAGTCACAGTAAATCAGGTAAAAACAGCTGATTGGAGTCATTTTTTTATTTTTATTTTAGGTGAAAACGGTGAAAGACTTACTCCTGCTGCCTCCTTCTGCAGAATGCAGACACTCTTGTCTCGGCTGAGTCCTTTAGGTCGCCACACAGAAACGCTCCCAGCCAGTTTATCTACAGAGGTCAGCATTGGAGGTGTTGAGGATGGAGGCATGACAGGGTGAGACTGGAGAGAAGGTGAGGAGGAAAGTGGGGATGTGGGAGGAGTAGTAGGATCAAAGGGGACAGAAGATTCAGGATGAGGAAGAGAGAGGATGATAGGAGAAAGAGGAGGAGGAAGACATGGGGGAGCAGGAGGTAGAGACGTGGGGGCAGTTGGAGGCAGGGGAGGTCGAGAGGAGGACTTTTTCCCGGGAGGTGGGGGTCTGGGTCGACATGGCCTGGCTGGAGGGTGGGAGGGCAGCGATGGTGAAGGAAGAGAAGAGGAGACTGGTGAGGAGTGACTGTGAAGAAAAAGAGGAGTTTTCAGACGTGCGATAATCTCCTTAATCTCTAGAAATTTAATCTCCTTAAAAACATTACAAGGTTAAGGAGATAAATTAGACAATTTAGTGTTTTTAAGGTCAGATGGTTGTGGCAGCCATCTTGAATCAAACTGTCCAAAAGTTGATCGGCTGTAGATATACACTTTACGTTAGATTTCAGTGGTTACATGTACTGTAATTAATATCTTACCTGTTGTAGATAGCTCATGGAAACAATGTCTAATTCTGACCAACTTATCTGAACACAGCTGAGATCAAAGTGGACGGCTGCTGTTATAAAACATTTCCAATCTCTGAAATTTCAAAGAAGTTAATGCAAAAACTATTTTATAAAATTTTAGCATGTCATAAATTGCTCTTTACATGGCTATCTACATGTACATGTAGTTTGTTTTTTTTGTATCATTTGTTTGTGCAAATAGCAGCAGCAGCTAATTGTAGCACTTTTTAAACACCTGTAAGAATTTCATACATTTTCTGACAAAAAGTCCCATGTAACGAGAAACTGATGGTGCTGTAAAGGGGTTTTTAAAAGTGTTTTTGTCAACAGTTATAAAATATCCAAGACTAGAGTTGTGTTGAGACGGCAAAAAATCTGCTTTAATCTTGAGCTCAGCTCAGATCAGCTGTTTCAAAAAGTTCTAAAATGTTTTTAAAATATCTTCCATTTAAAAATATTTCATAGCTTGCTGCTGATGGCTCTCTATTTGCTGACAGATAACCACAGAAATGTATGCAAATAACTATAATGCAAAATGTGGTTTCTGAATTAGCACTCATGTGAAACTTGTAAGACTGGAGTAATTTCAAGAGAGCAATGATCCGTTTTTTTTTTTTATCCTTATTTGAACTAGCTGTTAGCTCATCAAATCATTTAACTAAACTTTGTTTATTAAACTGAGGTTACTAAATAAAAAAAAAACTATCTGCAACAGGTAATATGTTGTTTGTTCACATAGTGCCTCATCTTCTATTTAAACCTGCAAAGCTCAAAAGCCTAATTTATTTTTGTCTCTATTTCATGTTTTTCCACTGAAGCTTCAGCTTCCATTCAGCTCCATTTTAGTATCCAACATCTTTTTGTGCTTTAGCTGTGAGCCAAATTACTTTAGTTCCACACCGTTTAGACATAGTGGGTTAAACAAGAGGTCTCTGCAGCAGGAAACAAAAGTTACTGTGTGTAGGTGGAAGGTAACATCAAGACAATGAGCTCAACCATGACACACTGTCCTCCAGCTACGAAAATAAAAATAAAAACTCAGAATGAAAAGTTCCCTAACCTAAAAAAAACCCCAACTAAAAATAAAACGGGTCGAAAATTAAATTTGAACGTTAAACGTTTGTTGCATCTACACATCCAGTTCCTAAAACAGACATTACTTAAGAAAAGATGTAAAACTAGAGCAGAGGTTAAGATAACTTACAGTATTTAGATATGAACGTGCTTTTATAGTCAACTCACATTTGTCCAGGTTTAGCTTAAAATCCTGCAGATGGTGATTATTTTAGGAGCAGAATACAACGTGTCATAACGCTGAGGCTCACGTTGTTAAAGCTCACCTGTTCCCGTGCTGTGTACACGCTAAACATGTGAGAGGAAGACTAGAAACGAGTAAAGTTCATGTCAACGTCACTGACCACCTGCATAAACGAACGCAGAGGAAACCTCAGGAACCAGCAAAATTTAAGCTAAATTTAAGTTAGAAGTGTTAAGCCAAATTATTCTTGTGCAATTGGTTTTCGTTAGTTTATCGTGTGAAGCTGCTTTCTCTTCTTTTTAAAATCTTCATTACAGTCTCAAATTCATGCTAAAGACCTCCATCCAGCCATCCATCCATTCTTCTTTTCATTATCTTTTTGGTCTGTGAGATGAAACCGGAGTAGAAAACCCACGCATGCACGGAGAGAACATACAAACTCCACCCAGAAAGGCCGGGATTTGATCCAGCGACCATCTCACTGAGAGGCATTAGCTCTACCAACTGAGCCACGGTGCTAAAGACCTAGTATTCTTTAAGGGATTGCATATCTCCCGCCGCCTTTCACGCTAAAGTTTTGGATTGAGATCATCATATCATGGATTTATAGATGTTTTGGTCAAATTTTGAATAACAGAAGCATGCACGTTTCATGCAATGTTTTAAATGTCACACACAATGTGTTTTGTGAACGCAGTGACTACAAGATCAAAGCTCAATTGCTGTAAAACTGAATCCAGTGTTTGCTAGCTTTGGTGGCCATTTTGAATTAAACTGACTCCAAAAGTTCATCCTTTGTAGAAGGACATGCATTTACTTTCTGAAAGTTTCATCAGTAGCGTTGGGGCATAACTGCTACAGTCCATCTTTGTGTTTTTAGTTGTTTAGTAGATTTAAAACGGCATAAAACAAACAAAACAACCCGATAAAGAAGGCAAGAAAACAGTTTTTTCAAAGCAGCTGCATGTTTCCAAATGTTGCTCTGAAACTGTTAAATCTTTATGATTCTGAAGTTAAACCTTAAATCAACAAACTCTTGTTTTTCTCCAGATTTTAATGCAGTGATCACTTTTTAAAGTCTGATTTCCACACAATATAAGAGCCAAAAGTTGAAATCTCAAGTAGTTCTCCACTTTTTAGTCAGCTTGTCTTCCATTTAGCTTTTTTTAAGCTGATATTTTCAATATATAATAATGAGCTACGTTTCCCCAAACTAATCAAACCAGATTTTGGTTCAAGGCTGATTCTCAGATGACAGGAGCGCTGTTTAGGGAACCTTCAGAGACAATCACAAGGCCAAAGACGACATCCTTCATGATTCTGATTGCCATTGGTTTGTTTTGATTCTGTTGGTTAACTGAAGTGACACAAAGAGGTTTTATTACCCTCACTGATTAACCACAATTTCTCTAATAACGACTCTACAACACGGAAAACTCAGAAGACGGTTGAGAAAAGAGATTTTCACTTCAAAGGACTCAGAGTCTGACAGCTGTGGAAGATTCATTTATTAATTGAACATCAGACAATCAAGAAACTGATTACAGTTACAGTCTGATAATCTGGATCTCCTCCTGACGTCTAAAGTCCTTGCAGATAAATATACTGAACATGGCAGACATTCTGACTCCAACAACTGAATCGACACTGAAACGTTGTGCTAAAATAAAATAACCATAACACTGATTATTGGCTGATGCTTTGTTTGCTATCATGTAGCCTCTAAAGCATCAGTGAATATGATTTGTTTTTTACATGAGTCCTCCTCCATTTGGAAAGCGCTGCTGCACATGATCCAATATGTTTATGTGGGTGTAAACAATAAAATAACATTGGAAAAACATAAAGTGGGGCATTCCTCTGCTCCAGCTGTTGGTTTGCATTCTGGTTTTGTCTCCTTTTAATGTAGCTGATGCATGTAAACATAAAAAATTCAAAAGTATGCAAAGAAAACACAATTTCTGAGAGTCATGCCCTGCAAAGCTCTCTGCTCTCTGTGCTTACGCTAATTATGAAGCTGTGATAGACTCTTTTTTTTTTTACAGTTATCAAGACTCTATTCAAAAACAACTTAAAGTTTAATAACAAATCTTTAATATCTTCAGACAAACAAACTTGGAGAAAGTTGTAACACTTAAATGAGATAAGTGCGACATTAAACGAGAAGAACTACATTTGATCGTGAAATAAAAAACAACAACAATAAAACCTGCCAGTCCTTGATGGAATGCATATCACCCGCCGCCTTTCAAACCAGAGTTAACAACTGAAATCATCTTATGATGAGAAATGTGAATGCACTTTTCTGAGATAAGACAAAATACTCAAGTGTTTTATTTTGTCTCATATAAAATATTTGATACTTGTAACTTTTTACAGCTTGTTTCTACTTAGCTTTTAACCCTTTGCGAGCTTTTGGCCTTTTGCTACTTTTAGCTAGTGCTTTGCCACTTTTAGCTTCTGGCTATCATTTTTCTCTGTTTAGCTTTTAGCCCATATTTTGTTTCCTTTAGTCTTTAGCAAGCTTTTTGCTACTTTTAGCTTTTAGACAACCTTTTGCTGCTTTTAACATTTTCCCTCTATTTAGCCGTTTAGCCTGAGTTTTGGCACTTTTAGATACCAGTTTTGCTTTGTTTGGCCTTTATCAAGTTATTTATTTTAGTGTTTTGCTTCTTTTAAAATTTAGCTAGCAGTTTGATACTTTTTTCCTAACTTTAACCTGCTTTTAACCTGTTGATGCTTTTAGCTTTATGACGGCTTTAGTGTTTTGCGCCAAGTTTTTACTTAGTGCTTTGCTCGTTTGAGCCTTTTAGCCAGTCTTCTGCTTCTTTTAGCTTTAAAGACCCAGTTTCAGGTTTTTCAGCAAATTTGAGTCAAGTCCTTCAAGTCTCAAATTTTCTCAGAAAATGTAAATTCTCTCATCTATAAACAATTTATCTTTAGATGCATACCAGTAAGTATAAATAAATGTTGAATGAAAAGAGATGTGACAGCATGCTTTATGATTTTTGCTGCAAAACACAATGTAGATTAATGATCTTTACTTTCATATTACGTCGGATTTTGGATCCAAATTTGAGCAGCTGAAGTAAATTACAAACAGTTATTTCCACAAAGTTGGCAGTTACAAAACTATTGTGTTTTGGCTCTTCAAGCTTCTGCTTTTTGCTGCTTCACTGAGCTTTTTGTTTAAGGAAGAAAAATACTTTTTTTTGGCAGAAAACCACAGTACGTAATTCTATCACCTATTTAAGCCCAAATCAGCAGCTGATGATTTTAATAACTGTTCAGTGAGCCACTTTATCAGGGTTTATTCAAGTGAAGCAAAAAATAAAGACATGTCTCCTGACAAATATGGTTACTTTGCAAACAGATCCTGTTTCTCTGTGTTTGAAATATGACATTTCTAATAATCCAGAGTCAGTTTTAGTTTAGATTTTATTCCAATTAAACAAAGCGTTGAAAATTAGTTTACTCTGAAACCGTTTCCCAACATGGTTTTAGTTTAATGTTGAACAATTTGCAAAAGAAAAAGAAGAAGAAAAACTAAAAAAATTAGCCTTGTTGCTGAGAGTTGACACAGTAGAAGAAAATACTAAAAGAATGACTGGAAAAATGTTTTTGCAAAGACAGCTGAGGCAAATAAATCCAATTTATACACCAGACAATAAAACACAAGCAACAGACAAAGCAAAACAAAACAAAAATACTGGGACACAAAGGCAGGAAGAAAAACTCTCCAGATGCTTTTTTCTTTATTTAATTCATTCTTTCTTGTTTCCTGTTTATTCTTTCCTTCTGTCTGTAACCAGGAAGTATAATGAAGCTTAGTTAACAATTAGTTCCAAACTTGAGATGATTTTACAAAGACACTCCAAAGTCCTTCAGAATCACACAACTACAGAGTTTTTTTGTTTTTTTTAAATGCCAAACTGCCTCTCAGAAAAAGGACTAAAATGACCTTTAGGTCAGCTAAATGTTCAAACTGAAAAAGCAAAAACAAAACAAAACTTGAGTACAGCCTTCCTGACTTTTTTGGTCTTTTTATTTCTTTTTTAAGAATTTAAATAATAAAGATGCTATCTATCTATCTATCTATCTATCTATCTATCTATCTATCTATCTA